ATCAATATACAATTTTAGTCATTTATACTTAAAGCGAATATTTCCTCATAAGAAAACGCATTACAATTTTGTTGTTGAAGTTGCTTGATAGTTGTTTTTAATAGTAATGAAGTTGTGGAAATTGCTTAACATCCTCCTGCTTAAGTTTTCTCTTTGAAGTAACAATTTAAGAACTTGCTCGGCAAATACAATTTTAAATTATTACTGTTTTATAAAAAAAAATATTTGTCTCATTTGACTGTATAAAACTTTTATTTGATAATATAAATAATTTCTCAAACTGTTTCTCTAAATAAATTGTTATGATATAGAAATTATGAATATACAGTTACATATGCATCAAATACGTTGCTATTTAATTTCATATAGTAGGAATAAGACTTACTGTGTGTTCCATATTGATATAACTTAATATAGATATTTAGAAACATCTTATTATTACACCTTAAGATTGATATATTTTAATATACATGTTTTCATAAGCGAACAAAAAAAAAATGCGAACAAAAAAAAATGCACAGTGCTCCAAAAAGAAATCAAACCACTCTAAATAACTTTTGATCTAATGATCGGATCTTCACGTTCTAGGGTTCCATCTTAATGGTTCAAGGGAGTGATCTCGAATATGCTAATTAATTATATGCCAACTAATCTACTTTACGAAATGTTACAAAACATGTCACATGTGTTACAAAACGTACGAAAATACTTTAAAGTGATATAAGAAATTATATATACCTTATAATTCAAAATTTTTTCGACTGTAATTAAATAAAATAAACAATAAATATTTACTAAAATCTATTTTTTGGACGAAATCATCTTTACGCAATCGAATTTTATAATTCTGTGTAATTTTTTTTTAATTCGCTTAAAAAGTTCTCGAGACATGCCGAAATACGCAAAAAGTAAAATTGACATTAAGGGGTCCAAACTGTGGACTGCTCTACTGACCGAAATATTAGGACCATATTTTACAGATTGCAGCTACCCCATACATTTTGGGGGTCAGAAATCCGTAACAGTCGTAGAAAAGATGAGTGTCTAATATCGTAACTTGAAATATCGCCTGCACCACACAATATTTAGCATTTTTGAAATCACCCTTTCGACCCATTAAGATTGAGTCCCAGAAAGTGAAGATCTGATCATTAAATCAAAAGTTGTTCATTGAGGTCCTGCTTATATTTTGTGCACTGAACATAGAAGAGACCTTAAAGTAGCGTTTTAGCCATTGACAAAAGCCTAAGACATAATCCAATTCTAATAGACTCTTTTTGATAAAGGCAAGTTTACTCAACATCGAAACCTCTTTAAATACCGATTTAATTTAAAGGTGATTTTGATAATCATCTTTCAACTCTTCCCGCAACAATATTTGATTTCTTGTGTTAAACTCGAGTTTTCTTCAGAAATTATTTGCCAGATTTAGATATCACTTTTAAAATTACGATTTATTAGCCGTATTACGACTGACCGCAGATAAATTTGATTAATTTTGATAACAAAAAGGTATTGTCACACCTTCTTCCCTGCTACGACAAACGAAAACGAGCAGATTTGTTTCATACATAGCTAAAACTTTAATTCATCACGCTGAAACTTAGCTAAATCAATAATTGTTTATGCTTCTTTTTGGCAAGAATTTTAATAATAAACTATGAGGAATTTCAGCAGACTGCCTTTTATAATAGTTACGCAGATAATAGAGATAAGTGATATAAGTGAGATTTCATAAGTGATATATAAGTGATATTCAATAAGTGAGATTTCAATAAAATTTTTAAGACAAAAGGAACAATTGCGATACTTCTTCGTAACTCACAGCTAAGTGTGAAAGTGACTTTCTAAATATGTAATTTAGAATTCAAATGAATCTCAATGTAATATAAATGTCAAACTCAATAATATGATATCAAATGCTTATACTAAATTAATATTTATTTTCTTAGGAGAAGAAATCTGCCCTAAAGACTTAAAAATATACTTACTCAATTTACCCTGAAGCAAAAATTCCGTGAAAGGCCTTGAAAATATATCCTAACAAGAACAATTCAAAAAAAATCATACTTCACCGAGTAAAAGCACTTTTAAAGAAATAAAAAATGCTGAGTTACCTTTTCAAGTCAATGCACTACTACCCTTCAACTAAAAAAAAAATAATAAAAAAAATACTTGCTTCGATAACGAAATAGAAAGAACATTCACGCAATAAGTTACTAGCTTTGAACAATGTATAGCAAAATGATTTTCTATTTTATTCTGTAGAAATAAAAATTTAGAGAACTTTGGAATAAATGGATAAGTTGATATTGAAAATACTGTGCAAAAAGTGATCAAAAAAGGGAACACTCTAAAAAACCTTTGATCTAATGGTCGGATTTTAGCGTGCTAGAACTCAATAAAAATATATCAAGATCCTAGACTGAAATATGCTAAATAAATAGTACAGACGATATTTTACATTAAGAAATCAGACTAAAAAAGCAAAACATTGAATTAGAGTTAAATTATGAATAATAACATGTAATAAATTTAATAAAACATAATACATTATTTTAAAAATTAGCTTTATGTAAACAAGTTTTATAATTGCTTGGCGTTTTTTGGTTTATTTTATAACTGCCCCAAACATGGAGAAATGCGCATTTAATAAAATTATTCAAAAGAAGCTCAAACTTTTCAATGTTCTCCTGCTTAAACTATAGGGGCCGTAGTTTGCAGATTGGCAAATCCTATATTTTGGGGGTTTAAAAATTAAAAATCAGTCGAAAACAGTGCAATCTCATACAAGTTCTTTAAAAACTATCTCTTTTAAACATGATATATATCTTTTTTATATTTGTCCACTAGGACTTCAGGTAAAAAAATAGATTTTTAATATATTTGTAAAAAATCCAATTTTATAAAGTATGAAATTTTTCAGCAATAATAGCAGTAGAGTTTTTAATGAGCCACTAGCATTAATAATTGCAAAATACAAATTAATATATGGACAGCTTTATTAAAATCGAACGAAAGTCTTTGTTTTCAATCATAAAATGCTTACATTTATTGGCAATACGAATTCCGCATCCTACTATAGCAAAATATTTCTTTTTATATTTTCAAATAGTTCAAGACATAGGTACGGGATAGGCAATCTAAACTTTTTATAATTGGTTTATATAGTTATAGTCTTACATAGTTACAGTTTTATATTGTTAAAATTGTTGGAGGAAATATTTAATACTAACGATGAAAAGTAATGCTGAAAACGCTTAAGTCTTTCAAATAGTTTGTTGTGCATATAAAATGCAAAGCCTTCACTCACTCATTAATAATTCTCCTTAAGTTAGAAAACTAAAATTTGAACCATAGGCTATTTATGATTTTTCTCAAAATTTTGCAACTAATGTGGTAATTAGCTTAATTGACAGTAACGCTGAATAACGCTTTTCCCAATGCCCATCAATTTTGACAACATATAGCTTCCTGTTACTTAACGAACGGTACTGTTTATCTCGTTTCCGTGGGTACCATATACGTCACCCCAACAACATAAGATTAGATAGAGAAATTACACCCATACCCAAAGAAGTATACGAACCCGAGAACTTCTTGACAAGAGGCCAATTCCTCAATTTCGAACAATTTGAGAAGTTGAGGAATCTTTTCACAGTCTCAAATTTGGGCCATGTATTTCTTATATATTTCTTTCTTATATAAAGAAAAACTGAAAAAAATTTATTTCGATTATTTGTACTTATCAAAGTAATTGGAGGTAAATAACCTAAAAATGATAGAAATGATAAAAAGCCCCAATTTTACCAAAATGGCTATTTTAAATTTCGGCAATGTGTTCTTTATGACATAAATAAACAGATTAAAAAAATTTCATTTTGATATTTGCAATAATTGTAGTTTAACGGTGCAGTTAGCCAAATTACCAGTAACTATGAAACATTTTTACATCGATAGTAGTCTCAAATTTGAACATGTGCTTTTACCAGATAAAAAGAAAATCTAAAAATAAATTAATTTCACCAATTTGTAATTATTGGGATAGTAAGGGTTAATTAGCCAAATAGACAGTTACTCTAAGTGACATGTTTTTACCGAGATGGAAATCTCAATTTTGAATCACGTGGTTTTTATCAAAGATAACGAAAAACTTAGAAAAACTTCATTTTAATATTTTGTGACTATTGTGGTAATTAGCCTAATTGACAGACATGTTAAATACCTTATTTCAATTAATTATCTCCTTTTGTTTGGCATAGTCGACTCTTGTTTTTGTGTCTTATTTAAACCTCGAATTTGTGCAGGTTGATGACTATGTGGAACCTCAAAGCGGTAAGCTCGTTTAGGAAGACGATGGCCACCTCAGGGGAATTCAAGGCCTAATTTTCACTTAATATTTGAATGACGATGATTCAGATCAGTATTGCAGAGGACAGCAGGAATAATCATGGAGCCACGAAATGGTGAGCTCTCTTTGGTCGACCAGCTGTGATCACCGCAGACGGATAGTATTATATATTTTGCAAACAAGGTGGCCCAATTTCTTAAAATCAGAATTTTTTTTAGGGAAAATAGGACTGAAATTATTGGCTTTCGTTATTGGGGCTCGTCCATTTATTTAATTTATATAAAAATGAAATAATCCCTATGTTATTTAAAGAATTTTTTATTCAGTTAAGTATATACAGTGACCACAGCCTTTCTTCCGAGTTTGTTTTTCGTGTCACATTTTATTTAGATATTTACATGAATAAAAAACTACCAAAATTGTATGTGAATAAACATAAAAACCTAGCATTCCAACACAGAGAAAAAAATGGAGTAGAAACTACCAGAGATAAGGAAAATTTACCTTGTTACCTGGCTGTCAAAAATTAATGTGATCATCAAAAGTAATGTAAATTTTACTGTAGAACGGTGGTAATGACTTTTTGTAAAATTATAAATACTACAAAATGTAAAGTTAGGTTGAGCACCTAAGACATCGGAGGAAAAAATCAACTCTTACAATTCTTTTAATATAGAGAAAAAGATATTACATTATTACATTTTAAATCATAAATTGCATAACACTGCAATATTGTATACCATAAATTTCATCACATTTCAAAATTTCACACAAACTATTCATATCTAACAATTCTCTTAATTGATATTTACAATTAGCAATCCAGCCCATGATTCATTTCTTCACAAAAACCTTTTTATTAGCAGTCATGGTTAGTGCTGAATTTATAATCCTCTAAAATAAATAATAAAAGAAAATTAAAATAAGTAATTATATATANATAGTAGTCCCGAATTCATTGTACAAATTTTAAGGATATATATAGGACATTGTAACAATCATTTATTGTATAGGGATGTATGGGCGCAAATTACGCTGTGAGGTGCAAACAGGGGAAAAAAGAAAAGAGAAACGGAGAGTTATCGGTTGGTTGTGTTGCCGGTAGAGGGCAGTAGATGTCTAACTGCTGTTCAGCATGATGCTTCTCAGTAAGGGAAAGTGCCATTCACAATTGTGCTAACGTGTACAATGGGAGACATAATGTATGTCGAAAACGCAGATATGCATTATATGTGCAGCTGTGAAAATGGCAACGGCAGAGCTGCGCTACGAAATATCACGCACAGTTTTCTGATCGACGAATCACAGAATCTTTCAGCAGTTACCTCATTAACTTTGTGACACTGGTTCGTTCCACGTCACCAGACATGAAGCTGGTTGACGAAGAGTTGTACGCTGTTCAAGCCTGGAAGAAAGCATCTTAAACGTTGCGGCTGATAGACCCGAGTCAAATACAAGAGCTGTTGCTCATTACGTAGGTTTGAGCCATCAGATAGTTCGTATAATGTTAAACAAAAATCGCTCAATCCCCCCCCCCGTGTTCTTATAATCTGTATTTTGTTTAGGTGAGGGAAAAGTATTACAATTCTTCACTCATTCCAAATATTAAATAAAACCGGCAAATACCAGATTATTCTGTTACTACGTCATACGTGCTTTCCACCTCTTTAAATGCTTGTACCAATATTTTCACTTTTTTAAAGATGTTAATAAAGTGTTTTCTAGGTTTATAAGTCTTCTAGGCAGGAGGATCCTTCGATGGATAGCGGGGTCCCTCTGCTGCCGACTCAACCTAGTTTTCAACTGCAGTTGGATTGGCACCACCACCCCGTGGGTTTGAGTTAGGATATTCGTGCTTCGACTGGTCTCCTCTGATACTGGTACATATGCCATGCCTGAGAGTCCACAATTACTTGGTCTTCCCATGCTGCAGTGGGTAGCTGCCACGATGTCAGCTCACACGTCCTCTGGCGAATGGACCCAATGGATCTGGGCACCTTATTATTATTCCTTTCAATTTTAAATTTTCAAAACAAACTCCTTACATTTGTAAAGACGCATTAAACCCAGTTTTGAGTAATAAGTCTGTGTTTTTAGGTTGATACAAATGAGATGAAGTAAAACGCTATACATTTTCATTTCATTTATGTGATAACGAAATAGTTCCTGACAAATAAGCTATTCTTAAGAGCTAGTTACCAAGTGACGCTTGGGTAAAATGTATTATTATTATTTTTAAAATTTTTTAAAGCAATTGTCTTACCATAATAAGGACATTCAAAATCCAAGTTCATGTAATAAGTCCTGTTTTTCATCTTAGGTTGATACAGATAAGGGAAATATTTTTCTGCATCCATTCCCATAACAGCGCATTTTGACCAATCTTTCTTGCAACATCTGTAGCAATCACCATGCAAGAAATCCGAGTAACTTTTACACTCAACTCCGATGAACAAACCCTGAGGATGATTGATGGATACTTTAAAATACTGAATTCCTTGTAAATGAGTGCACAGAGGAAGATAAGAGAGTAAGCCTAAAGCTGTTGAAATAAAATAGCTTTGTGTTAATTGAATCAATACAAAAACAAATTTGGAAGATTAATTGTTTGAGTTAGTTTTTAGCACATTTTAACTACGTCTAGGAAAAAATACGAACCAGGTTTACTTACTATTTGCAAATTGTTCCTTAAGAGTCCTTACTTTTCTCTATCGAACTCAATCATCGAAGAGTTGAAAACTGGTATGAAAAAAAAATACTAAATATACTTTTAATTAAGCTTACTGTTTGTCTACGATAGGTATTCTGACTGCCTCAAAGTCTACGGCAGTCTGGTGCTATGGAAACAAGAATTTTTTATACACCCGCAAGCTATCGGCCAAACAGCTTGTATGGGGAGTATACCAGATTGGCTGACTCAGCCACCTGTAGGCGACTTATTTAATCTGATTCAAGAGCTTTTTTTAAGATTCGCATGAATATTTCTTTCTTACTTAAAATAATTCTCTCTATTCAATCGGTTGTTAATACAAAGGAAAAAAAGTGAACAAATTCTGACATTAAGGTTTTCTTAATGTTACTTTTTAATTTTACGATATTTATTATGAATGTTCACTGATTGTTAGATGGTTTAATTTCTATACTTGCACATTTTTTAAAGCAGTTAATTGTTTTTATAACTTGAATTTTCTGGAAAAAGTGAACAGCTTAAACTTAATAACTCTGATTTTAAAAGGAGATAAAACTTTTGTTGAAAATAAAAATAGTTCACGTTATCTGTGCCGGAGAAATATTAAATATCTTTGTTTTTATTATTAATTTTTAAATATTTAGTTTTTATATTTTTTTGCTTAAATTAAGTTTTCTTATTCATATTTTATTGTAACCTGTATAGTTTTTTTCACTATTTATTAAAAAAGTTTTTATTAGCAAATTTCTTTCTTTCTTAATGACCAATTTACTATGTATGATAAATTTATAGATGAGTTATTTATGAATAAAACATTGAGCTGCTTTAAACAATTTTATACAATTTCCATACATATCCTATTTATCAATCGTTATTCATAGAAATAACAATTTCAATTTGTCATTGTATTTGGATAAATAGTATCGATGAAAATCAGAAGAGAGCTGATACATAAAAAGGAACAATTTATTCAAGCTATTAAATTTAATAATTAATGAAAGAATTCCTGAAATTTTGAAAATGTTCTTTACTAATGCTTCTTTTGTAAAAAAACGGTAGAAACACAGTTTCTAAAACAGAAGCTTTTGAAAAAGAGAAAAGATTAAAAAAAGGAATCGAACCCTGTAAACGATGTTTCAGGCGCGAATGCTCATTTCTCTTCACTCTAGGGCTAATACAATAGACCGAAGAAAGAAGTCTCCTTTTCTCCCAGCGAAACCAGTCCTAAAGAGGGACCCCGCACCCCTACTTGAAATAATCATACCTCGTTACCATAGTCACCGACACACCTCCAGACGAATGTCTTTCAGAGTACCTATCGTAGACAAACAGTATTCGTTTTTCACAAATAAACTGGTGGCGGAAATTTACTCTGTTCCGGCAGTATCTCCCGATGGCTTATATTCGGAAGTCATTGACCTTTTTCGAGTTAAGCCAAGAATGAACACTTTTTATTTGGCAAGAGAGCACCGCAAGGGTGAAAGTATGTCTTATTAGCTCAGAATCTCATGGATAAATGGTAGCACTCTTCATTCGTGAGGCCACTTCCTCAATTTATTCATAGGTCAGAAGGGAAAGGAAATTTTCTCCAGATCCCTCAGCGACCAATCGCAAGACTTTTGATTCCACAGATTTTACGAGCATGTACGCGGTGGGTCTACTGAGCAAATTACCCACGCCTTACTGCCACAGATCTCTTCATAGGATACGCCACATTCAAACATCACACAACTGAGGCCAACACACAGAGAGAAATATCCATGCCCCGAGTGGGATTTATACCCGCTGGTGCACATTAAATCAGTCGGGTCACAAAGTCGTTCATGTTTTCATAACAAATCATACCTACGGAATGATTAAATGGAGATTAAATGGAGATTGATCGTTCTCTGGTTCTAGTCAAAATTGCAATCTGTGGATGGGTGTATAAAAGGATCTGCCCTATAAATGGGCAGTGACCTGGGCTGGGCTAAAGTCGTATTCTTGGTCATAGATGGCGCCACTGAAAAGCAAAAAGGTACATACTACCTTAAATTCGCTTAGTTTCACCAAGCAGGCTTGCTAGCATTGGCAAGGGGCAACAACCATTGCAAGTGGCAACAAATAACAACAACAAGATTCTGCTTAAAATTTTGTATTTTTTTGCATGTGCTAGATTCATGTATTTTTAAAAAAAATCTTAATACATTTGGCGCATTTGCGAATGGCTGAAGTGTTACCAACTTAGATAAAAAAAAATTGTGGTTTTAGTGAAACATAAGACATGAATATTAAAAATGATGCATTACAAAATGTAAGAAAGCACCATTTTCTTACTTAGAATATTTGAATAATAACTACAATTAAGATGTCTAGATATGTTTTAGCAATCACATGATCATACAAGAATCGTAACCGATATGAAATGTTTTTACATGCTAGATATAAAGACACATGTTATTTTTATTACGTACCGAATATATAATCCCCTTTCAGTAAAGTTGAAATTGCGTAAGTGTAGCAAGATATTTGAAAGCTACCCCCATTTGGGTAAAAATCAGCATGGCCAACAGCATTCTGTATTCCAATGCTAATTGCTATAATAGAAAAAAAATTATTAAGCCGTCTGCAAATAATAATAAAATCATAATAAAAGCAAAATTTCTCACTGACTGCGTGGCGGCAGTGTAGAAACTTGTTAAAATAATCATATTCAGTGGATGCAATATGAGTGTAAAAATTTCACATTTTATAATATTACTTTTTAAATTATATTGATTAAAAGACCTCCGTATTCTTTTAATTGTTCTTCTGCGAGTTTATGTTCAGTGTGAAAAAAAAAATTAACCGAATGGCCTGAATAATTTTTCACCTAGTGATTAGACATTCACGTACTAGAACTCAATGTTTATAGTCTACAGGTCTTATGTTTATAGTCTATATGTTTATGTTTTATGTATTACAATGTTTATAGTCTACATACTTCATTTATTCTACCTCAAAGTGCAGAAGACAGTTTAAGTAACGAAATCAAACATAACAAAGAAATATTTTATTTTAGTTACTTTTTATTAAATAATTGCAAATTTTTCTCCCATATTAAGCTAAAATTAAAAAAAAAATTGTGATCACCGAAACACGATCACAGGTTACCCATTGGCAAAATGGTTGCTGTCTATATATTCTTCTTTTTTTACCTATAGATCAAATTCATTTTCATGATCCACGTAGTTTTGTGAAGAACGGGCTTGCGTTTTTAAGCCTCAGTAAGTTTAGGCCTTAGCATCGTTTTTGTTTTCTTGCTTCAACTCTAACCTTTGGGACTGTGTCAATCAGTTTGGGACTCTCTTTATTTGTGATATTCACCTGAATTAGTATTGAAAACGATCCAGTTTGAACTTTAGGTTAGAATTTCTGATTCTTAATTAGAACAATAAAAACAAAAATAACATTCAAATGATGAAATTCTCTTTTATTCACAACTCAAGATGTATTTATGGGAGTACTCTGGTCCCATATCTCAAAAATAAATTCACCAACTTAATGCATAACAAAATTAAAAGTGAAAAAAGGATTTGTAACAAAATTATTAAACAGCAGCGGTCGCCATAGCAACACAGGCAATGACGACGCATGCGCACTGTTTACTTTTACTCTTGAACGCAGTTGAAAAGTGTGATGACGTCCAAATATGCGCACGCCATCAAACCCAAAACAACATCCATTTTGCCAATATGTAAAAACGTACATTTTTTAAATAAACATGCCTTTTATTTCATGGATTAAATTTTCGGAATTTAAAAATATAAAGGATAGCTGCAATCTGGAAAATAAGGTCCTAATAGTTTGGTCAGGAGAAAGTTTTAACTTCGAAATGTTAATTAGACTTATCGCATAGTTCACCATAACTCGAGAATTTTTTAAATGAATCGAAAAACTTTTGTACCCAATTAATTACAAAATTGTTTATCCAGAAATAGTTCTAGGCAATAAATAATTTTTAATGTTTAGTTATTACTTTTTATTATTTTATTAAATAATAATAAAAAAAATTGAAACAACTTTTTACATCATTTTAAATAATATAATTTAATGCAGCAAACATTTTAACGAAATCGGTTGAACAGCTCCTGTGAAATTGAATTTTATGAAAGTAGTTTGTTAGAAATTGAAGTTGAAAATTATGCTTCTTATTCGCATAGCAGTGCATCAATACTCGTCACATTTTGAACACGCGTTAAAAAAAAACAGACCACCCTGAATTACTTTTGATCCAATGATTTGATCTTCACTTTTTATGACTCAAACATAAATGTTCGAAGGGGTATAATAAGCTAATTAATTGTTACGAAATCAGACTCCAATACAAATTATCTCTGAATAAACAAGCTTTTTTTTGATCAATTCGTATTTCTGACTCCAACATATAGGGGGTGGCGTAATCAAAGAAATATGGTCCCGATAGTTTGGTCAGGACAGCGGACCAAGGTTTGGATCCCTTAAAATTAATTTTACTTTTTGCGTATTTCCCTATATTCACTTTTTTTCCTTTCATATTCTCTTTGCGTATTTCTGTTTTTAAGCGAATTAAAAAAATTTTGCACACTATTTTAAACGCCATCTATCCAAAGACGAGTCCATGTAAAAAATAACTTTTAGCAAATTTTGATCATTTTTTTATAATTTTATTTAATAATAGCAGAAAATCCTTGGAAATGCAAAATATGCATTTTTTACATCACTTTAAAGAATGGCAAAATATAAACTTTGCCATTTCGGAACTTTGCCATTCAGGAACTTTGCCATTCAGGAAAATTCGGATTGACACTAAATAATATAGACATTAAGATTGAGTCCTACAATGTGAATGCCCAATTATTAGATCAAAAAATATTCAGGGCAGTTCGTTCTTTTTTTTTCGAATTTCACAATGGCAAGCTAATTTCCAGTTCCTGTTACGCCATTCTCATATAAATCTTTGTTTATTCTACACTATCATTCCTCTGAAACATTTTTACAAAACTTTTGTCAAATTTTTTTTCATTCTTTTCTGAAAAAGGACCCCCTATCAATATAGAAGAAAACCACTAATTCGGGCTGTAGATTTGAAAAGTAAACACTCCACAAATTATAATTTATTGATAATGTAGTGTCGCCATCTTCGTGTTCACTTTTTAGACTCGATATATAGACTCGATTCATTTATAGTTATATTTATAATTTCATTTATAGATTCTGTTAGAAAATTTAATAAATTTAATAACAGCAATTAAATCTGTTTTTCATAAATGTGCTCATAATTCACAAATCGAAATATTTAAATTATTTTTTAAAACAAGAGGATCGAAGAGAAATCGAAAATGTTACATATTCGTTTACAAGCACAAAATAGTGGCATTTTAAGTATCCGTCTGCTACCATTTCCTAGTGGCCGATTCCCCTTAGGAAAATTTTCCATAGACACGCCAAAAGTAACCTATGGAAACTTATATGGCAAGATACCTTAAGACTAAGGTAGCCATAGAAATACGTATGGTATTTATGTGGCAAGACACCTTACACCTATGATTACCATAGACATTTGCATGGCATTCCTATGGCAAAACACCAGAAGCCTATGGTAACCATAGAATTTGTATGGCGTTATATGCCGGGACAACATTGTCTTATAGTACGATTAAGGGTAAGTGCCATAGGCATATGGCAAACTAATAGAAACCCACTATACGCATGCTTCATATGGGAGAGTGGTGGGTGAAGTTGGTGAAGGGAGCAGGCGTGTTTTACTGGAACTCCGACGATCCATATGAATTTTGCGTTAATTAAACTAATCCATCGAAAACAACGGGACTTTTTAATAAAATTTGTCCACCTCATAAAAATTTATAGTTATTTAAAATTATTTTCTATTATTTCAACTAAAAAAACAGCATTTCAACTTCTAGAATTTCCACTACTGACAGATCGACGGTAAGGCATGCGCGTGACGGCATAGGCATATGGCAAAATTTCGCCGTGCGTTAATGGCAATATTTTACCATAGGCAAAACTCCATAGGACTATCCTATGGAAATTTTTAATGGAAAACCTGTGGCAAATTTTCCTAAGGGTCGAAGTACATTCAACCACCACCACTCACCTTCTAAATCACATAAGCCAATGGTAATTTCGAGTAATTGAACTCGCTAAATATGTTGGCTAAGAATCGGCCATTTTTGTGATAGACGACGGTTACATTTTTCTCGATATCAATTAATTCTGCACTTCGTGGCATCTTTCATTTGGCCAGTGCTTATAACGTTTTCATTAAATTATTAAACGTGGTAAGCATGAAGTATAATAGAACCTTAGTGAATAATAAACTTTTTAGAACAAACCATTTTTTTGACAATGAAAATTATATTAACGTAATATATGTGCTGATATTTTTTTTAAATAAATAAATATTAAATTACATCGAGTTTGTGAAAAAGTTAAACACTATTTTAAAACACTATTTGAGTTTTTCAAATTATTTTCGATAAATGAAATTAAAAATATATTATAAGCAACTCTGTTGTTTGAACAAATGAAAATAAAGGATAAGCGATTGTTCAATTAGTATGACTTATTTTCAACTGTTAAATATCTATGTCTGACTTTTAAATCATCTTGAAATACATGTTAAATAATGCTAAATTTACACAATGTTTATTTTCGAATAACTGATATCCAAGCCCAGCTTTCATTCTGATAAAAACGTATGTTAAAGAAGGTTTATCGAAAAACAATCAATTTAAGAAGTTTTCCACATTTCTGTTTTTTCTGAAAAGCTGGAGGTATATCAATACAATTTGAAATACAATGTCTTGAGGATAAAAAAAGAAAACTTAATTTTAAAAAAAAATGCTACTTACGGAAGCAATCTCCTGCATTGCTATGAATGACGTCTGTAAATTGAGCATTTTCAGCGTCTAAAAATCTTCCAGGATCACCATGTCTAAAAGGCGCAACAGCAGGATCCAAGACTATCATTACATAAAAAGAATTACATTTATCTTAAGGAATTTTATTTACATATGAAGAAGGCTCTATATCTTTGAAAATTTTATTCGGAGATAATTATAAGCCGCAAATATTTTGAAAAGAAATTTTCTTATTATTGGCAAAGTAGCTAACAATGTAGCAAAACCCTTAACAAATAAATAGTTTAATCATACACTTTAAACATACACTTTAAACATACTTAACAATAGTTCTTACATAACACAACACAATATCTACAAATTATAAGGGAAATTCAGAGTAATTTGTAAAGAATCAATTCTATGCTACCCAATCTCGAAGCAATTCAATGCTTTATGTTGGCTTCAGTGCGATTCACGATGGTCCAACATCATTTGATGGTCACCATCATCCAACATTTTCCATTATGTGTTCATGGTTTTTGATATGTCAACAAATATCCATCATTCCTTGATGGAAAAACTACTTTAATACTATGATCAACAATCTTAGTATTAAAGATGATTGTTGCATCCGCATCTGGACAATCATGGACCAACAATCCATGATGAACCATGAAAGTTTATGCTGGTTACAACAATGCATTTCTATTATAGTTTAATGGGAATTCTTGTTGGTTTTGAGGAATATACCATCAAAACAATTTAGTTTTCCTTTAGATTGGACCATCATAAATCAGTCCGAATTCCTACATTGGGATGATGGGTGTTTATGATGGATCCAACATTTGATTTCTAAGATTCTATGATGGAAATTTCTTATGGTTGAACATGAACAAACCATCAAAATAAGTTGATATTCTTATGTTGGACCATCATAAATCAGTTCGACTTCCTACTTTGGGTTAATGGGTCCCCATGTTGGTAATTATCAAAAATATAATGGTTGATGGAGGAATTATTGATGGTTACTATCACGATTATGATGGTTCATCAATGGAAAAAAATCAAAAATTTTGGTTTGGGTAACACTCTATTTAGGGAAAAAATGCGTATGGACGAAGTTTTCCGGCATCATAATAAGCTTGAAAAAAGAAGTTGACAATTTTTCACCATTCCTTATATTAAGAACGCCATTTTATTATAACTCCTTATATTAGAACCCCATTCCTTATATTAAGAACCCCACGCAAAGAGTCAATCATGACGAGCCTGAATTCCAGCCTGACTCGCAGTTGTTTTTGATCTTCAATGCTTGTCCGAAAGCAGGATAGAAGAATAGGAGGTAAAAAATCACGTTTCTGTTCGTCGCGTGGAGTCGCGAAATTGATGCCCGGCTTCGTGTAAATAGGGTGTACGGGAGAATTCCTTTCCTGGTTGATAAAACTGGTTGAAATATTTTCTGTCCGCAGAAAAATCCGTTGCTTAGCATCCATGAGAAGATCGTGCTATTGACGGTGAAACTAAAGAATTTTTTCTACTTCAAAAGATAAAGTCCCTTAACGGAAAAAAAATTCATTGCATTTTCCTTTAACCACTGTTGTTGTTGTTTCTTACTCCATTTATCAACACCCGCAAGCCTGCTATAGGAAACCAAAAGAATTTAAGGCAGAGGGTTTCTTGTTTTTTTCAATCTCGCCATCTATCACCAAGAATTCATCAACCGTGGAATACTTAACAAACATTCTCTTACATATTACAGATTAACCAAGACTAAACCAAATTTTACAATTTAAGATCATCTTTAAAATTATTCTTAAACATATAAAAAACTTAATGTAAGAACAGACTAAATACCTATTTAGAATGATGGGGGTCAGCCTTAGAAAATACCGAAAAATAGAAAGTTGTTGGTAGTCTGTAGCAAAAAAAAAATAAAAAAATAAAAAATACCAGGAACCAAAATTGGATGTTAGACTTGTTAGCTTGTTGGATTAAATCTTCTTTAAAAATTGAATAATATTTTAACAGCAAAGGAATAAAATTTCTTTATTTTGAAAAATTTAATTTGTATTCTAATTTAAATTATTACAAGTATGTAGACAGTTCTAACTATAGCATCTTTCATATTTTAGTCCCCACTGAGAAAAGCAGTCAAAATTTAAGGCTTTATAACGTGTCATTGTCAATTTTAATCTCAGAACTTTATTTTATTTTATTAAATCTTTATATATTTATGCATAAGGTATGGAGAGAATGCCCATAGACACTAAAAATTAAATTAATTTCTTCAGAAAACACTATTTTTTCAATTTTGACAACTCTTTGGAATCAAAAGTGTATAAAATTGAGATAGAAAGTTCAGAAATTTAACTGTAATGTTGTTCATGAATTAGTTAATGGATTTTTTCTTTATCATTATTTCGTAATTTATAAAAAAATTAATAGATGAAAATGGGGCACAATGAAACAAAATTCAGTATTTTTTACCTAGCCATAATAATACAATAAAAATACAATTAATACACACTTTCAATCTTGTATTATTGCATTATTTTAATTTTAGCACTTATTATTATTTTTAGTTATTAAATACACCTTTGTTAGTACCGGTACAGTTAGTTTTTTTTAACAATATCCTAATTCTTGAAAAATTGCAGAAATAATGGGTCTAACATTGCGTCACTGTACCCTGACTGCTGGCGTGCAGTGACCCCCCCCCCACAATTAAAACCTTTCAAAAAATAGATTTTCAGAAAGCTATATTATTTTCTTATTCTGTCATAAATTTATAAGAAACATTTTTTATAAGGGTGTTGTTTAAAAACTTTGGTATGGAGATCAAAAAAAATTCAACATTTGATTGGCAATAGGAGAAGATTTTAGCACTATAACTCTACAAACTTAATATTCATTAATGTTTTATGAGAATATCTAAAACTCTCATTGTTTAGCAAAATAGGAAAATCCATTGCCTTTTGAGGTAATGGGGGAGGTCCTTTGGCAAAATAAGTTGTTTATCAACTGAGAAGAGAGACTTTTGCAATTTTTGCACATTACAAAAGCATTTAACAAATTAGATAGTATATCTAGATACACTAGGATGTTTTTTCCACACTCACGATTGTTTAACTAAAGTGTAACTGAACATTTCCTCTTAGATGTATTTGTAGATGTTTCAGGATTAATAGTATCATGGCACTGTTTTGGCTCAGAAAATTGGTTACCGGTATACTTTCAACCAAACTTCTTCGAACGAGCCATAACAATATATATATAATGCAATATATAGAAGAAAACAAAAATAAAATAAAGTAAGATATCAAAATGTAACTTATCTATCAACAATTACGTTTTTTTTTAAATGCAGCAAGACAATAGGGAAAATCAAAACAAGCAAGCTTCAAAAATTTGCAGTCGAAGTTAAAGTTAATGAGATAAGTTGCAGTTAGAAGGAACTATCAATCATAAATCGCAAAAATTTTTATTAAGAAAAAATACCAGACTTAAAATCCTATGAAAACTATAACATGTCAAATTTAGGGGGAGTGGCATTTTTGCTTACATTTGCTTTTTTGAATTTTTTACGTAAATTAAATTCAAAAATACCTCATACTATATGTCAATCGATTCAGAAAAGTGCCATCTATCAAACTAAATTAGAAAAGAAAGTTGAAATTTTGGTCTATTTTAAGTGCCTGGTGCCCTTAAATGTATTGAACTCCTTCTTCATTGAGGATGGGCCTGAAATCTTATTGTTTGAGAAAGTAATGACCATCTGGTAATGACCTATTTATTAGGAGTGAGTCAGACAGATAGAATAAACAATTACAATTTGCAATCGGACAGACAATAACAAAAGTTCCTAATGGAATTTTACTAGGAACATTTGTTACTGATCAACTTGTACACAAGAGGGTAATTCCAGTAGAACTTTCGGTCATTGTCACAGCGTCTTCCACCATGAAGTTTGTAGACATGAATAGAAAGGCAGGACTTGTACTAAATATTTGTAACTCAGGTATAACACTATTATTTATATTGATTCTGGTGTTAAAAGAAATGCTATTTCCCTCTGAGGAGTCAACAGATTCCTCCCAGGTTCTTGAAAGCTTTTTTACGATTAATGGATTATTTAAAGTCAGATTTATGATATGCAGGGGAATTGATCACCATCAATGGGAATAATGCCTTCATTAACTAATTTGATAGTTGAACTATCTTTAGTTGTGTAAATCAAAGCAGATTCAGAGTTTTGAGCTTTAGTGTTACGAGTCGTTAGAACATTCCATTTCAGATTATCAATGCTATTTTGTAATGGGCAAACTTTTGCGTTCGGCATGAAAATCAAGAATACAGGAGAGAGATTTATGAACTTTCGCACTCTTTAACAATAGAATTGAGTTTCTTATTGAATAGCTTTCTCTTAGTTCTGCTCCGTCGATATGGAGGGTCAGAAATCTTATCTTTTCTCAATAGGATGCTTATTGAAGGGTTTGTACTTGTAATTCTATGTTCATACTTACGCGTCATTCTTCGAATTTTATACTGTGGTTTCCTTTTTAATATAAATCTTGCAGCTTCGCTCACTGCAAACGACCCAAAACTATGACCTATGAAATGAAATCTATTACCATTGGTCATCTTCGTTTGTTTCTAAAAGGAAATAAAGAGCTTATTTAAGGAATTAATATGACGAATATTAAAACTATTGTTATGACGAATAACAATATTATGTTTTTAGAGATATAATTACAAGCATCTAGTAACATAGATTTGCTGCTTTTTGAAAAAAACTTTTTTTTAAAGAGTAGTGAAATACGAGGGTTATTTTTAAGGTGAGGGTCGATTAAAAATAGCACCAAACGAAAGAAAATTTTCCAGTAGCAAATTTATTTATAGATTCCACATGGGTTTCTCTTTTTTTCCCAGCATGGCTGAAAAGTTTGTTTAAACACTTATCACACCTTACAACTAGATTTATAATACCCTCTTTGAATAAACTTGCCGCCTGCTCCGTTAACCAAGAGGTCACGGCTGTTCTCCCGCTTTCGTCATCGTTCAGTGATTGTCGCCAATATGATGTTTGAAATGTCGGAAAAGATGAAAATCACTGAGCTCAATGTCTGGGCTATAGGGAGGGATGGTCAAATCCTTCCCTACCAAAAGAGTCCAATAAAGCTGGGACCTGACGTGCGGAGAGGTTCTTTGTCATAGCTGACAGGGAATTTTGCTACTTCACAAATCTGCCAGTGAATGTATGCAACAGACATGCTTTTTGCCGACTAAAACGCATCACTCGCAGTATCTCGAGAAAAGAAGACGATTTATTAAATTTGAACATTTTAAAGACACAGAACTCACGCAACAGTTTACCTATACGTATGCAACTGAGCACAGTTAATCCCAAGAAAGGCGGGGAAGCCACGATTGCTCAGGGAATAGAGCGTTCGCCTTCCAATGAGGCGAGCTGGGTTCGAATCCCAGTTGATACGAATTCCGTATCTGGCTTGCACCGACCAATTAGTAAAGAGTATGTGATTGTTGAGAATGTGATATGAGAAAGTGTATTGTATTTGAGAGATATATAATAAAGTTTGACAAACTTCTTACAGGAAGTATACTTCTATTATTCTTTTTCTCCAGTATTTATTTAAATGTTTATGTAAAAATACATCATTATTTAATGATATTACTCGAGCTCATAATTATTTCTCTTCTTTTATTTTTGGGCTACTAGGACCGTAAGGAACCACCACAATGATCCTTAAATTAATAATGAAGGGGTAAAGGGCCACTTCGGCCTCAGGTACCCTGACCAACCGACAGCACTAGGATTAGGACTTGATTCCACTTTTATTTCTAGGCTACAAAGGCTAGAAGCTTTCCACCTCAACAATCCTCACCTGATGTTGAATGGGTAAAAGGCCACTCCAGCCAACCAGTACGACTGCCAGTCTATCTGGAGGTACCTTTAAATGGATGACGGTTGATATTGCTGGTTGCCTATTTCCGCGTTGGTAACTTGATCTGAACTCTCCCACCTCAACAAAAACGCCCACTTCGACATGAACATGCTTAGTTTGATGGATGGAACACAGTGATATTTGTCATCACTTGATATTTGTCACTGCGGCATTGTCCTCCTACTCAGTCTTGATCACTCAATACGGGGGTCTGTATACACTCTCCTGCTAATAGCAACATAAGAGAGTCAACACACACAACCGTGATCTTAATACATCTCTCACGACTAGCTCTCTAAATTCTGGTTACCTTAATACAGCTCTTTGGGATACTACCAAAACAGCAATGAATTAACTAGAAATATCCTTTCATCGAATTCTATCCCGGATAAAATTCTGGTTTGGGAGTATTGTAGTGTAGTTACCACTACAATCATTCAATTCCAATTCACTAGTATATAAGAAATGGTAACTTGATTCTATCTAAAGGTACCTTTAAAGAGATGACGGTTGGCATTGTCAATAGCCAAGCACCACGCACTTATAGTTAAGAATTCAGTTTGCTCGACTTTTATATCTCTTATATATCTTTTTATGCTTCTGCAAGGAATTATATTTCCTAATGACCTACAGATCGTGTGGGAATTCCATCTCCAAAGCAATGTATCACTTATATTTGAGATTTCTTATCTCAATCTCCTACATTCGCTGATTTTGACAACGTTTTTAGTTTCCTCGCCTAAATTTTAATATGCGACCATAATTTTTCCTGAAATTTGCAACATAGAGATCGAAAGATTGAACCTCCGAATGTAAACTGAGCATGTTGTTATGCAAAAAAAGTATCATTTTTCAAATTTTTATTCGTCAAGAACTATTCGTCCGATTTGTATAAAAGTTTAGATTTAATCATCTAAAATAAGGCAAATAAATTTAGAGTAAAACTTTTGCATCTTATAATAATTTAACATCTTATAAATGATATTTTTCGAATCCTTAGTAAATTAAATGCTGAAAAATGATAAATAATTATAAGAAATAAAATTTTACATTGTCACGGTTAGTAATTGTGTGAAAAACATTTTTTAATCTTTTCAAAAGTTCTGGAAAAATAGTAAAGCCTTCAAAAAGTAAAATTAGCACTATTAAGCCTTTAACCACTTTCCTAAAATACATATTTGGACTATATTTTTTACATTGCAACTACCTCCCACATTCTGAGGGTGAAATATTCAAGTAATTAAAAAGAGGATAAAAAAAATATATAAGTCAAATTCAGAATTTGACTTATATATTTTTTTGAAAGGCTTTACAAATTTCCACATAAAAATACATTTAGGATGAAGTACAATATATTCTATACTGAAATTATATGGTGATTTTTGAAAATCATTAAGCATAAATATTATACAATACCATGATATTCATAACCACAAAAGCAATGTCTTGACCAACCACAATTGAATTGGCAGAGGCTTCAGCATAATCAAGAGTGTTACCCCAGGTCCAGTCTACTAATATAACATTGTATTTCTCGCGTTGGAAGAGTTGTTCTTTTATCTCCTGAAGAAATATCAAAATACAGAAACTTTTTAATTGGTTAATGTGCAAAGTGCGAAAAGTATGTGAAGTGTTACATACCTTGAGAAATATACATTTGAAGTAATTTAGAACGAAACACACAATTAAAACAAATTCTACTCCAACCTAACTCCATTGACTGTACAGTGAGTCAAAAAAAGTATAAATAAAAAAACGAACCATTTTAAATAACTTTTGATCTAATGATCGGGTCTTCACGTTCAAGGGGTTAATGGTTCAAGGGGGTAACTTCAAATATGGTAACTATTTAGTGCAGACGATATTTTAAGTTACAAAATCAGACACGAAAACGTACTTTCTCTAAATAAACAAATCTTTTTACGACGGATTATGAATTCTAACCCCCAACATATAGGGAGCAACCGCAATCTGGGAAATATGGACCTAATAGTTAGGACCGGAGAGCGATCCAAACTCTTGACCCCCTAATGTTAATTTTACTTTATTTGCTATGTCTCGAGAATTTTTTAAACGACTTGAAAAAGTTTTGCATTCAATTATAAAATTGATATATCCCATGACAATTTCATGCAAAAAAATAAATTTTAACAAATATTTTTTATTATTTTATTAAATAAAACTCGGAAAATTTTGAATTTGTAAAGTGTACAATGTTTTATATCATTTTTAAGTATCGAATTTTAGATGGAAAATACAAAATTTGAGCAAAATCGGTCGAATAGTTCCTGAAAAATCAAATTTTAAATATCCTACTTTTTTGAAATTCACTTTCTCAAGAACATTGTATGAAACCAATGCATATCCGGAAGGAGTGGACACATTCTTTGCTAAATCCCATTTTTGCAATGTGGGGGAATTTAGAGCATTATTGCAGTTTTGTATTTTATTAAGTTCCGCCCTCCAAAATGGAAGGCCATCCATGTTCTCCTGCGAAGTGGTTATTTATAATTAAATACAGTCTGTTGTGGACACTTCTTACCTTAATTTTTAATCCTGAAAATGTAGTGTTGCTGTAGCGGGAGCTACTGCATTTTCAATATCACCACGAAGTCCTACTTAAAAACTAATGCACAATGCAACTTTTACAATGCAAACTATCTTGATGAATTCAGGGTTTTAGGATTATAACTTCATTAGCTACATTGAACTTCAAAAAACAAATTTCTTGAATACAGCAATGATCCTAACTAATGACCCCAGCAATGACCTAATACAGCAATGACCCCAAGTTTCCTAACAAATTCTGGAATTCCATTCCAAATTTGAAAACCAGCTGAATCCCTCGTAAGTTGTCGAAGACTTCGGTTCCTTACCTATACTTGGTTCTTCCACGAGTTTCCCTCTTGAAAATTTCTTAAAAACGGATGAAAGGAATACGAAATCTAAACGATTTTGTTATAAACTAGCAAAATTAACTCTCAAGTATAAACATTATAATAGTTTACCCTCATCCAAGCAGTTCGACACACTCCATCCAACCAGCCATGAACAATTACCACTGTGTCTACAGTTGTGTCAAAGTCAGTGTCTTCTGGCAGTTTTCCACCACATTTATGCAGGGGTTCTCCCTTTTCGGGATTTTTAGCAGTGAAGAGCCAAAGTTGTGTATCCATATTGTTGATGTTTGATCCCTTATAAGAAGGTGAGTAAACTTCAGATAATGTTGTATCGCAATAATCGCCATGAACTACTTCAAAACAGGGGTCTCTCTGTTGGAAGAGTCCTTCGAACAGATCATAGGCTATGGGGGGATAAAAAATAGTTTATTATAACCCAATTTAAGAATGAGTTAAGAGAAACTGGAGTTATTGTGTTATAAGTTGTATGAGGACTATTAGATAAACTCTTAGGTGTGATACCATACTTTCTCGCTTTGTCTTTGTTATGTGCGTTGCCTTGCATGCTTGACACGAAAATAGGAAAAAAACGGGAAAAGAATGAAGCTACAAAAAAATAAATAGTACAAATAAGAAGGAAGTTACGTGTGAAAAACGATTTATGATTAAAATTCGACGTTTTGTCATTGTTAATTTGAATTACATTTTTATCAAACTTAATACGTTGAATATTTTTATTAAATCTCACGTTTCTGTGTGTAATTTCTATAGAATTTCTGTTCTATATAAACACGATTGTTTACGAGATTTTCGCTAGGTTTTAAATTATTTTACTTTCGATCTTCAACTTTAATCTTACTATCGAAATTTCGACCAGTTTTCCGCCTAGCGTAACCATTTTTAGGCTAATTTTGATTTAAAAAGAATCATTAAAATTCATTTTTTAAAATAAAATTAAAAAATTCAGTTTATCTCTTTAAAATCATTTAGATATTTTTTCGATCACAAATAAAAAAAATATGACAATAATGATAAAAGTAATAATAATAAGAGGAATACAAGGTTAGAAATTTCATTCTAAAATTATGGTAAAATAATGGAATTACAGTAAAGAACATTTTTTACCATTATGGTTTTGAAACCATATTAAAAAAGCCTGGTCTTAAAACCATAAAAAGGAAATTTAATTGAACATTGGATATAGTTCAGCAGCTTTATGGTATTGCCATCTACAGATGAATGAGAATATCGTACACTAATAATGCAGGATCACAAATTGGGGAGTGCAGGACACTGCAAACTCTTCATGCGTTGAAATGTATGGAGGAAATATTGTGGTGTCAACGCTGGGAATCGAACTCCTGGTCATGAGATTGTCAGATTAGCCCTCTTAGCTATAATTTTAATCCATCTTCAAGTAACTGAGTGGCTTCATTAGGGGGACCTAGTCGATGCGATAAAATTTTGGTCGTTTAACCGTATTTGGTGAAAGCAGTTTATAAACGGTATTTCTCACCGTTAACAGTTTTCATACCATCATATTTAAGGTTATTTTACTGCTTTGTTCGAATATAATAAAATAACACTTAAAAAATATTCTATTAAACCAGCTTGTCTTAGAAATTACTAACAGTGTGGTAACTATTTTCCCTTACATACCTCAGTGCCATTATTTGTTAAACATCATAACTACAAATGTGTTGTTTCTCGTTATTTCTTCCATTTTTAATGCAATATATCATATTTTTTTTGTTACTCTCAGTTTTTTGAAATTTTGTACAAATTTTTTCTACGTGCATCTAGGGAGTAGACTATCCCCTGATAGATAAAACTGTTGTTTTATATTTTAAAGTCAAATTTTAAAAAAAAAAGTTCAGTTATATTTTACATTTGTGACCGAATGTGTTGCAACATTAGTTCAATTATTTAAAAGTTAATATTATGTATAATGCGTAGCCTTTTAAATTTACTATTTAAGAACACTAATGGGCAAATAAAATTAAAATTGCTGGAAGTCTGCCAAATTCTGTTCGCTACCGCTCGCCAACCATCTCAGTGCTTTTCGGATCACTTCCAGATCTATTCTCGCTTCGCACACTCACCAGATACTAAAAAAGGATTATAGCATTCTTGTTTCAAATAATATGTTTGTACAGTGCACGAAAAAAAGGACCACACTGATTAACTTTTGATCTAATGATTGGATTTTTACGTTCTAGGTTAATCTCAATGGCTCGAGAGGGTGACTTCGAATATGCTAATTCATTGGTTCTCAAAGGGGGCGATACCGCCCCCTCCCGGGGACGGTGGGAGTATGCTGAGGGGCGGTGAACTTGTTTTGGGCGGTAGGGGGCGTTGGATATATTTTGGGCGGAAGGGGGCGATGAACATGTTCTGTCATTCAAATTTAATTTTAAAACTTACAAATAAAATTATTGAATTAAGATTTATTTAATAAATAAAATTAATATTAAAGAAAAAAAGATTAAATTAATATAATAAATAAGGATTATTCAATACACCGTTGTACCAGCTATAAAACGAACTTAGAAGACACCTATTCTTCGATCCGAACCAACACAGCTCGGCGCATGAGTCAGTAGTTTGCCTCTGACTCATTCAAGCCATTTGGTGGAAATTAAAGTGCATGCGCTTTCAGTACGAATGCTTGACTGGACCCGTGTTTCTTAAGCTTCCTTGCGGTATTTTTTCCCAGTTTCGATTAGATCTTATAGTTTATTTGGCCAGATACGTGCGCGAATTAGTTCTTTATCATAAATTATTTATTAATTTTGAGAAATAGTTGATTTTCTTTCATCGTTTGTATTTTGCTTACTCTAACAATGTCGGTTGACAAAAAGAAGTGTCATCAATACAGTGCCACATGCTTGAAGTTGGGATTTGTTCAATCACTGCTGAACTCTCAATTACCCATGTACTTTGTAATAAAGTTTTATCTAATGAGGTAATGAAATCATACCGTTAGCAGCAGCATTTGCAAAAAACTTATCCTGACAAACAAAATATAGATTTGTCATTTTTCTCAAACACATCTTGTTTCACGCTTCTGAAGGCATCTTCGGCCTCAGGGTTACTAGCAACCTCATCACAAAAATTCGACGATGGTTTGATAGCTTCTTATAATATATCAAAATTTATTGCTAAATCTGGAAAAGCTCATTACATCGAAGTAGAGTTGATACTGCCGGTTGTCAAGGAAGTTTTAGAAACTGTTTTACACCAGCCAACCGCATCCAATGTAATAAAAAAACATCCCATAAGCAACGATTCAGTTCGGTGACGAAATGATGAGATGGCCGAAGACGTTTAAATTTCTTTATGCAAATTTCTGATATCCATCGAATTTTCCTTTCAAGTTGATGAATCAACCTTGCCAGGTAATGTAGGCTTTACTGTAGGCATAGGTCCGGTTTGTAAAGGTAAGAAACATTATTCAAGATATGCTTTTTGCAAGAGGCTTGATTATATAGATATCAAAGGCAAATCTATTTTTAATACTGTCGAAGATTATTTTAAAGAGAAACATTCCTCTTGCGAATATTATGTATATTGCCACTGATACTCTCCTGCTATGGTGGGTCGACATCATGAGTTTATCGCCCTTTTGGAAAGGGTGGTACCAAATATTTTAACTGTTCACTGCGTGATTGACAGACAGCATTTAGTAGGAAAAAATCTCAGTGACCGTTTGCATCAATCATTGCAATGTGCCATATCTGCTGTGAACAAAAATCACAGTAATGCTGTCTACGATTGATTATTCAGACGCTTGCTACTATACACCGAGATTCACTGGCTTTCCAAAAGCTTCTATCTCAATAGGTATTGGAATCTTTTCGACTCTGTGCTTGAGTTCCTCGAAAACAGAAATGTAGCTCTGAGAGACAGATTACTAGAATTTATGAAAGACTTTGGCTGATTTATCTCTAAAATTTAATGGCGGTTAATTTAAAATTTCAGGGTGACGAACTCAATTTGATCCCTACAAAATCAGTTATTTCTGCCTTTCTAAAAACACTCATTTTGTGGAAGCAGAACTTTGGTTGGAAAGAGTTCAGCCGAGCAGGCGAAATTCTCTCTGATGACGCATAAGAATATTGTCAACACCTTGACTCTTTGCACATGGACTGACCCTTTTAAAGACGTTTTGTTCCCTAGAAGTCGCTCAATGGATTTATGGGTTTTGAACCCTTTTGTAAATATTGAAACAGCAGAGGTTTAGATTTGTGAGGAATTGGTCGAACTGTTAACTAATGAAACTTTAAAATGGTGATCGTCTCACAGAGTTTTTGCTAAAAGGTAGCATCAGTCGTCTCTATCCTGGACTGTGGACAATCGTTAAATTTTTTTTAATTGTCTTCCCTGCCTCCTAATTTGTCGAACGTGGATTCAGTGCTGTTACGGATCTTGTCACGAAAAGGAGAAATCGACTCGAAATTGTGCAACGAGGGTATTTGTGTCTTCATTTCACTAAGAGTATTGATCCGAGGGTTAAAGAATTACTGTCTGAACCATTAAGTACAATCATCCCACTATCATAGTTACTTGAATGTTTCGTTGATACTACTTTTTAGTGTAAAAAAAATTTGGGGGTGTTTTTTTAATTATCTAATTAAGAATAAATTATTATTTTTAAGTATAGGTTTCTTTGTTGTATTTTTTTTTCATTAAACGTATTTATTTTGATCATAACAAATAGACTGCGATTACCTGCCGTGAAAAAATTGTCAAGTTAATTTATTCTTTTTTTAAAAAACAAACAAATTTAAAGCGTAAAAAAATTTATTAAAAATTTTGTCTCTTATAATTCAGCACACGTCCCTCCGTCCCCATGCTCTAAATAACAAAGGGGGGCATTGAAATGTTTTTGCTCCTTAAGGGGGCGGCAACGTTAAAAAGGTTGAGAACCTATGTGCTAATTAATAAGTGCAGACGATATTTTAAGTTACGAAATCAGGTACCAAAGCGTTCTTTCTATGAATAAACATGCCTTTTTTCGATGAATTCTGATTTCTGACTCCCAAAATATATAGGGTAATCGTAATCCAGGAAATATGGTACCCATAGTTATTATTAGTCGAGTCAAAAATTGGGCCCTTTAATGTTAATTGTACTGTTTGTGTATTTCGCTGTGTCTCGAGAGCATTTTAAACGAATTGAAGAATTTTTACACACAACTATGAAATTCGTTTATCTAAGGATAATTCCATGCAAGAAATAAGTATTAAAAATATTTATTATTTTTTATTATTTAATTTAATAATGGATAAAAAAAATTGAATTATAAGGTATACAATTTTTTGCATCATTTTACAGAATATAATTTTTCTTGGTAAAATAAAAAAATTTGAGTCTATTTAAAATTCGATTTATCAGGAACTGTTTGACCAATTTTGCTCAAAAGTTGTATTTTGCCTTGAAAACTTATATTCGTTAAAATAATACAAGAATATGCATACCTTACAATTTAAAATTTTTGCGACTATCATTAAACAAAATTACAAAAAAATAATATTTACTGAAAGTTATTTTTTCATAGAATTATCTTTGGATAAACAAATTTTATAATTGTGAGCAAATATTTGTTAATTCGCTTAAAAATTTCTCGATATATAGCGAAATAAGGAAAAGTAACATTAAGGGGTACAAGCTTTGGAGCACTCTCCTGACAAACTATTAGAACAATATTTCCTAGATTGCGGCCAGCCTCTATATTTTGGGGGTCAGAAATTAGAATCAGTCAAAAAGGTATATTTATCCAGAGAAAGTGAGTTTTTGTGCCTGATTTTGTATATATCCGGTCATTAGACCAAAATTTTTTTTTTTTTTTTTGGTCATCGACTAAACCTGTCTGGGCTTTCAATAGTATACACTAATTACGAACATATTAGTCCTAAACTATTGAAAATAGTTACAAGCAAAATAGTTAGAGTAAACATCTGCATTTATTTTTAAAATTAAAATATAATGAACCTACGTAGTAACTGAAACTATACTGAACGCATTCAATTTAAAGAAATAAATGTTGGACATGGGTAGTGGGGGTACAGACATTAGCAAATAGAATTCTTCTCAGTACTATTAGTACAGTAGTATAAGTGAATAATTTTATAGAAAAAGAAACTATTTTATGCTAAGAAACAACAATTTTTTTATAACTGTCATTGAAAACCCCACGCAATTTTTAGGTCTAAGATTACTAATGGTCAACTCCGTAGCTTTGTAGAGTTTTGAACCCAATCCAGAAGACAGGAGAACTCCTGGACCAAGTATTGGGAGAAATTTGCCTTCGGAAAAACTTTTTGATGGAACTAACCCGCATTTGAATTACATGGATCAAAACCCTCCCACGGCTATCTTGAAGTCAAGGAGATTTTAACCCATGATCCGTCTACCAATGAGGATGAAATATTTATTTTAACAAGCCTGTAGATTCAAATCGGATTTGTTTCTATTTGACGAGATGTTTATCTCGCCATTTTCAGATTCATTCTGATTGAACTCTCCCTCGGTTAGGGAAGACGCCTATAGAAATCCCTTTTGTGGGGATTTAACCTATTTCGTGGCTTGAGTTGCCACAGAGGATATTTTACGTCAGCACTGTGGTCGGTGTGAGCTGGGTGCGGAATTCGTATTGACCATCGTTGGGATTCAAACCCGGTTCGCCTCATTGGAAGGCGAATGCTCTATCTCCTGAGATACTATCAACGGGGTTCGTAAGCGATAGTGAAGGCTTAGTCCCCTAGTAATTTACATAAAAGAGATCATGAAAGCGGAAACACAACGTTTCACTTACGTAATCATTTTTTATCAACCGTAACTGATATAAACAAAATTTATAATAATATTATAAGCAATGTGATTTTGTTGTTAATCTAAACTCCGACCACTTTAATATTAGATGACGCAATCAGAATTTTACTAATCTATATACGTTGCACAAAGACAAACAATCTCGGTTGCATATTTAACAGAGATAATCTATCTCTACCGATAACAGAGATTATAAGATTATTTAGTTCATACTCCTCCCCACTAAAAGCGATTTCTTTTTAAATCAAAGTTTCTAAAGAAAATACAACAAAAATATAGTTTTACACTTACATGAGATCTTGGCGATCAGTGATATGAGCAGAATTATATCTAATAAAATCATCATTATGTCATTGCAAAGACGTGAAGCATGAGAAAAAATAACTGTCTAAGTAATGTCTTGGAAATTAGCTTGTTAAAAAACAAAATGTAAATTAAACTTTTCAATCAAGCATTCATACGGAAACTTTTAATTTTTAATGAGAGATTATTTATTCTTCTGTCGAAGAGAATTCGCCAGAGAATCCTTACTACAATTACTTAAAATTTCCTACTTTATGATTTAAGAGGGAATTTAGGTTTAACTTCGTGATCTAAAGCTTAAAAAGCACCCGAACGTTTTTTATCAGTCACAAATTCATGTCAAGGAAAAATTCAGAAAGATAAAATCTTTAATTCCTGTAATCTTAGAGATTGCATGAAAGCGGAGAAATACGTAACTTCAAACTAAAACTCTGTTGAAAAGAGATACATTTTGTCTAATGAATAACGCTTGAAATAATGATTGGATTACGTGCTATCTTAATTAACGAGCTATCTTAAAGATCATATGTGTTTATGTAGATGATATTTTAAATCATAAACCAAAACAAAAAAACAAAAACGTGTATAAATAGTAAACTAAACGTGAAAAAATATGCGTTGTTCTTTGCAAAAATGGAGGATGTATGTACTCGCGAAAATATTGCACTAATATAACTTAATTAAGAAGATCATTCGCTTCAAAAATACAAAATGCAAAAATACAAAATTTGGAAATAATAAGTAAACGTATTTTAAACGCTCAAATGTAGGAGCAAGTATTCATAATCTCCTTTAAGAAAATTTTCTATGGAAAAGCCGATGACAGTCTATGGTAACGTAATGTAATCATAGAAACCTATATGGCAATATACTTTAATCCAATTGTAACCATAGAATTTATATGACATTTTATGGAGAAAAACCATAACTTTATTGCGCGATTAAGGGGAAGTCCATAGGCATATGGCAAACAAATGGAGAAACACACTATACGCCTGCGTCATTCCTATGGGAGGGTGGATATGGTTGATGTATCAAAAACAATAGGACTTTTCAATCAAGTTCTCTGACCATATAGAAATCTATAGTTATTTTTTAAAAAAATTCGATTATTTCAACGAAAAAACAGCATTTTAACTTCAAAAATTTCAACTGCTGACAAGTCGACGGCAAGTCATGCGGGGGGGGGGGGAGTCTGATATCTCAACAAAGCATTATTAAAAAGAGAAAAAAATGGAAGAATTATTCATAAATTTTTTAATTTTATTTTCTGAAATTTTTGTATTTATTTGCTTTTTTTTCTCGAATATCTGACTAAATCGATTTTTCAACTTCGTGAAAGTAGTAAGTTTTCCTTCAGTTTCTACAACATTTTTCTTAATTTTTGATTATTTATAATTAATTTTTTAATCATTTTTTTATATTTTATAAATAGCTTAACAATCTGGAACCAAATTAACTCTCGCTGCTACAATAATGCTGAGTGAATTTCGCAAGCATTAAATAGTAGATTTTTTGCCTCTCCACGACAATGTGTTCAATATTTGATGCTGTGATTGATTTTGGAATAATAAGCAGTATATAGAGAACCAACAAATTTATAAGTTCATTCGTATTTATTTTCGTTTCTAATATTGGCTTTATTGTTTTCTAAATTATTTTTGTCGTAAAGATTAAAATTATCAGGGTCTTGTACATTATACCTTTGGGGATACTTGATTGGAGATCGATCGTTCTCTTGTTCGGATCAAAATTGCGGTCTGTGGATGAATGGATGTATGAATGGGTCCGCTCTATAAACGGGTTGACTTATAGTTATGGCAGAATTCGAATTCTTGGCCATCTCTCCCTTCCTCAGAGCCTTAATGGCTAACGATAACAAAAACATCACGGTATTGTTGGGCAAGAAATTTTGGCTTTCTTACATAATTATTGTTTTTTCTCATATATTTATTCACTTAATATATTTATATTAATACCTCATTAACTTTCATCCATGATATTATTTAATATGAAGTATGGACTGATGCATTGCCTGTTGGAAGGTTTAGTCTCCAGATGTTATAAGAGGAACTGCAGACAATAAATTCTATCTTCCAATACATCCAGATTTATCATTGAATTCATCTTAGTTTGTATAAATATAATTGAAGTTCTACCACCTACTGCAAAAGCGTCCCAGATCATAGTGGATCCACATTCAAATTGACGTTCTGAAAGTAAGTGCAGTTCAGTCCTTAAATCGAAACAAAACTATCGATAGTCATCTAGTCCACCCACATTAGGCCTCTTTTCATATAATTTCTAACCATGCGGCCATGCATTTCGTTCTTAATTTGTGCAGGTGACATCTTACCGTGACAAGAAAGCTTCCTGATTCATCTTCTTGCCTTGACGAAATTTTCTTTGCCCTTCAATACGCTGCGTACTGAAATAGCTTTCAGGAATCCTGAGACAACTATTAATAACTAGCCTAGCACTTTCCTACTTTTATTGCAATTTGAGAACCACTCAAGCTAAATTTCTATCTACCTCGTTCGCCTTCCATTAAATGGGCTCATCGTGGCATTGTATTGCGCGTGCAAACAACTAAAATCTGATTTAATACAACGAAAACAAATAAATATACGAAGAAAATAGCTTTGCTTATTCAGCCATTTCAGTTTTGTTTCGTATAAGGCGATTTATTGCTCGGCTTTATTTTTTTTTCCAGCAATGTCAAGGTAATAAGTATTTTCTCTGAATGAGTTTGGTTTCAGTTCAAACCTTTTCGCGACTGATGGCGCTTCGGACAGTAAGCCTATCAATCAAATAAAAGTAATTGAAATTCCCATAAAAGTTTTTAGAAAACTTTTAATTAGTTAGTATCATATTAGCTGTGGCATCCGCACCAAGCTGTGGTGGCTCAGGTGATAGAGCACTCGCCTCCTGATGAGATGAACCGGGTTCGAATCCCGGCAATAGCTGGCTGATTCGAATTCCGCACCCGGCTCGCACCGACCATAGTGTGAACGTAAAATATCCTAATTGGTAGTCGGATCATGGGTTAGAGTCCCCTTGAAGTCAGGCTAACCTTGGATGGGGTAATGCAAATGCAGTTTAGTTCCATCAAAAAATCTTCAACGAAGGCAAATTTCTCTTAATACTTAAAATATTGCATGTATCATATTATTATGACATCTTATTATCATATTATTGTGACATGTTTTGGTATAAGATATATTTTTTTCTTTGGTTTAAATATAAATTGGCAGCAGTGCCATTTGTCAAAAAAGTTTTAAACTAATACGAAAGGGGACATTTATGTCACATAAATTTGCTGCAAGATTTTCCTTAGCCACAACTGTTTTTTCATTCATATTTTTTTTTTAAATCGTCAGCTTAATTGTCAGTCAGGATATGTTGTATAATTATTTTTTAAAACACGTCATGAAATATAATTATGAAACAAAAAAGGGCTACATGCAGTATTAATTGCGTTTCGAATTTTTCTAACATTTGAGTTCTTTATTTCTAACACTGAGTTAATTATTCATATAATTTAGTAGAAACTTAAGGCTTTGTTACCCGATCTTACTACTTTCCTCGAATTTTTACAGATTTAATTTTACAGATTTAATGCTTATATTTGAATAACTTGAACTTGTTCTCTGAAATACTGATAAAACCGTAATTGAAACTTAACGTTTGGATCTTTGTGCATGACAATTGCTCTTTTTTAAAAGTTTCCCATATTTTACAGTGTTTCCAAAATTTTAGACGTTTAAACGTGAATAACTTGCTATCTGAAACATGGATAAAACCTTATTAAGAACTTTTCGTTTCGTTCTTTGAATATAGCAAAATTTAACTTCTCTCAGACATTTGCATATTTAATAGTGCTTTTATCTTTTCTAACATTTGAATTAAAACAATTCGAACGTGCTATTTAAGTCATTGAAATATTTTGTCAGACTTCTTTCAAAATTTCTTAAATGGTAAATTAAATACTAAAACTTGGTGATGATGAAATCTTGAAGAAATACTTTTGAAACCTGCATAATACTTCAAATTAATGCTTTTCTAATTTTTATTACCTCATCAAAATCTATTACCGAGCTAAATTTATTACTAAGTATATTTTTGAAGATTTCAAGTAATAAAATTAATATGTTAATGAGTGAAAACTGCAGCTGTATATTTACAAGTTCTTTCATTTTAAGTATGGATTGCAATATTCTGAAGCCAGGGTAGCCTGGTTGGTAGGGCGCTGTTCTCTCGTTCATCAGTACGGAAGTTCGAATCCAACCAACCGAAGTAGTAAATGGTAACTGGTGCACGTTTAATCTGTCTGTTCACAAAGTCCTTCATCTTCCCAATACAAATTATAAATCTGGAGGTACTGGATAGGAGACTGATAGTTCACTGGTTCAGGTCAAAATTACGATCTGTGGATGAATGAATGGATATATAAATGGGTTCGCTCTATAAACGAGAGTGACGTATGGATGCGGCAGAAGTCGAATTCTTGGTCGTCAACTTTATTAGTGTTTTAAAAGGAAATAATGAATTATGCAAATTAGATTATTGTAGTTGTTTATTCCAAATTCTTAGTCAATAGTGGTTAGTTATTTGTAGTTTTTTTAGAATTAAAATACTATAGCCGTTTCAGATACATCTTTACTTGGATATGATGTAGAGATATTTATCTCAGAAAAATGAGTAAAATTGAAATAATTCGAACTTTCCGAAATTATGACAATAAAGGAAAATCCCTCAAAGGGATCAAGAAAATCATTCTCTTAACGTAAATTCTCATTCCTAAATTGCGGTAAAATAGCCGAGAGCTGCCTGTTAACCCAATTAACCTTAAAGTTTACAGTAAAGAACATTTTTTACCTTTATGGTTTTGAAACCGTTTACAACTTGTATGGTAATAAATAACATGGAATCAAAATTATTCAGTTTCTTACACATATTACGATTTTTTTAACCATTACATTCCCATTTTAACATTTATAACCATTTCAGTTTTTTTAACATTTACATTATTAGAATTACATTATTATTATTTTAAAACCGTGAAATGGAAATTCAACTGGACACTGGAACTATACTTTTCTTCAAGGCATTGGAGTGTACTGGACATTGGAAACTCTTCATGTGCTGAAGATAAAGGAGGAAATATTGCGGTATTAACTCCGAGACTTGATCCCCCCCACTCTGTTTGTCGTGAGATTGGCAGATTAGATTTAGATATTATTACCCTCTCGGCA